GCCGACGCTGTGCGTAGAGGTGAGCCCAACCAGATCCAACTGGTAACGCTCCACCTCCCGCACAAGCTCCGACTCCTTCCCCCCCAGAGAGGTGACGTTCCACGTCCCCAAAGCCAGCTTCTGTCGCCCGGGTCTGGTCCGTCGAGACCCTCTGCCTGCAGCGCACCCGACCCCATCGCTGTTTCCCGTAGGTGGTGGGCCCGCGGGACGGAGAAGCGGAGGTGTTGCCCATGTCGCCTCTTCGGGCTGTGCCCGGCCGGGCTCCGTGGCAAGCCCGGCCACCAGACGCTCGCCGACGAGTCCTCCTTCTCAGCCTGGCGTCCAGAAGGGGGACCCCGGGCTTCCTCCGGGCCGGGTATCCTCACTTCGTGTGTCGTCTTTCATGAGGTCTTCTGAACCAATCTTAGTCTGACCCCTTGCCTGAGACCAATTTGCCATGGGAGACCCTACCAGGAACACAAGGTTCCAGACAACACAGCCCCCAGGTTCATCAGGGCACACAAACCTCTCTACCACGGTAAGGTGCTGGTTCTTCAGAGAGGTTTTTAATTCATTTAAAAAATTTATTTTTCCAAAAGGTTTGTCATTCTGAAGCCCCTTGCATTATGGCAGATTTTGGTGTGAAATGTTGATTTGGTCGTTGATTGCTCCAGGAGTGTGCCACGATGGGCGGAGGGATCCCCATCTGCCGGCAGGCGCAGACCAAGCTGGAGGTGTCGCTCTACATGTTCTTGTGGAGTCCGGACACAGAGGCGGTGCTGGTGGCCATGTCGTGTTTCCGCCACCTCTGTGAGGAGGCTGACATCCGCAGCGCCGCCGACGAGGTGCCCGTCCAGAACATCCTGCCCAACTACCCCACCTTCAGTGAGCTGGCCTCCGTCAGCAACATGATGGGGACAGGTCAGTACTGTCAGCCCACACCAGGAGTACTGCAACCAGGTCAAGCACTCAGCACTGCACCTCGCCTTTTAACACAAAAAAAAACCAACAGTCACAAAACCCAATTTCCACTGGGATTAATTAAATATTGTGACTCTTATTCTGACATAGGAAACTATTGCTTTTCATTATATTAAAAACCTCACACATCACAAACATTAGCAAACATAAACACATTTGTATGTATTTAACCATTTTCAGAAATTCCAAGACAACACCTAGATTACTGCGCTTTGTTGAATCTGAGTAGTTCTTGGAGTATGTTTGATCCTGAGGGGATCAGTTGTTGGGAAAGCAATGTGGAAAAAGCCTCAGCGTAGTTAGCTGTGGTGTTTAAGTGCTGCTCACTCTACAAAATATGGCCGTCAGAGTTAGGATCAGTATCTGCAACATACGAGGTTCACTTACTGTCCTTGTATTCAATGATAACATGCCAGTCTTGGGGTCTTCTTCAACATTGTGGATGTATCCTCCTTATATTTAATGATTCCTTTGTTTGTATTCTGGACCTATTGGCCCATGTTGGATTGTTGGGAAGTATTCCTCTTCCAATTTCTTCCAATAACATATTGGACTTGTTTGGACAGGCCGGTCCACCTTACAGAAGAGAGTGATGGCCCTGCTGCGGAGGGTAGAGCACCCCACACCAGGAAACATTGAGGTGCCATTCAGTTCATATTCAAACCCATACCGTACTATACTTATGAAAGATGTTTCTTTGCAGAAGCAATGTATTTAATAACTCACTATTTCCTTTGGTCCACCTTCAGGCCTGGGAGGACACATATGCTAAATGGGACCAGGTCACCAAACAGATTCTCAACTCCCCCAAAAACAAGGCAGATGATGGGCAGGTAAGCATGTTACACCAGGGATCTCTCCTCTCCTCCATCTCCTCTGTCTACAGGAACAATTTTGACGTCTGCCTGGCTCCAGACTTTTCCACTAGTAGCACGAGTGCTTGTTTTTTTTTACGCTTATGTTTTTATTGAGTTTTCACAACAATAATAACAGAAAAACATGTGAACCTAAACAACAAAAAATAATACACAAATATCAGTTATAAAATAAAGCACAATAATGTACTAGTTGTCTGAAGACCTTCAATATTCACACATACTGTACAGGAATGAATTAGCCATTCACTTATTCATTGGTGTCAACCATGTCAATATTCCACTTTTCCCATTTCCTATTGAATGCATTCTCTTGGATTCTCAAAACATATGTCAACTTCTCCATGACAAAAAGATCTTGAACAATTCCCAGCCACTGCTCCTGAGTCGGAGCATTCACATTAAGCCAATTCCTAGTTATAGCTTTCTTACTCGCTGCAAGTAAAACCTTAGTCAAATATAGATCGCCTCCCATCACAACATCCTTAATGTTCCCAAGATACATCACCGGGCAGGTATTTGGAATTCCATATCCCATAATAATGTTGACAACTGCATTAACCTTCTCCCAATATGACCTTATCTCTGTTAGGGCTGTCCCGAATACCAATGTTTTCGGGCTCCGGATATTCGGTAGTAATCAGCAGCGAATATTCGTTCCGTGCGAGGGTGGTGGTGCGCAGTAATCAGCAGCGAAGCGCTTCGACACATGTATTTCACTGCGGTCAAGCCAGCCTCCACTTCGGAAAACACAGTCAAGCCAGCATCCGCGTTGTTTTGCGGTGCGCGAATACCCTATGCATTACGTTAGTAGCCTGGAAAAACTGCCTTGAAAATAAAAGTGCTTACTC